ACACAAAGTTGTTCAAACTATTAGCACCGGTAACACCTCTTTGGTGCACTGTTGTGTCCTTCCACCTATTCTTTGTATTCTGTGAGAGGCAAACAGTGATTTGGTGCATGTTGGGCTGTTAATTGTCAAACAAGGATGAAATTTACAGCGTTAGCAAGTGAAAATATAGAAACCTTATTAAATTTGAATTTCCTATAAGTAACAAATAATCTTTTTAGTGTAAGTAAACTCCAAATCTGATAAGTTTCTAATCAGATTAGTTTCTAAAATTCAGACTTAACTGAGCATTCTCTGAACAATTTTTTTTTCTTCCATCTTTGACGTTTTCAAACAATACAATGAACTTGAAGGAGAGTTCTGGAAGAGCAAACCCAAAAATGTAGGTAAGAAGTTTTAAAGCACATCAACTGTTTTTTCTCATTTTGGGAAACTAAAGCAATGTCAGGGAGAGGGCAGATCACACAAAAATAGAGGAGGTATCAGTGGAGTAGAGGAATGGAATTGAGGGGAGGAAGGACAGATGGGAAAAGAAAGGAAATATGGAATGCAATCAACAAAATTGTGCTTTCTGCGTATTTGAATATATCACAGTGAGTTCCACTTTTATGTATATCTATATAGTACCAATTGAAATCAATAAATGAGTAAATAAATAAAAGGTACACCAGTAGAGTAAATCAAGGGGAGTAGGAAGAAGGAAGAAAGGTGGGAAAGAGGGAGCAGTGGGTACTGAAATGGAGCAAATTATACTCCATGCATATATGATTGTGTCAGAATGAAACTCACCATCGTGTGTAACCACAATGCGCAAATAAAAACATTTTTAAAAAGAAGTTTTAAAGCAACAAACTCAATGCCAATATTTTGTAGAAACAAACACATTATAAAGTAAAAATGTTATAAACACATTACAAAATCAAGAACTTGTCGCTTAAGTTCATCAATCTGTGTATTAAAGATGAATGCACTGTATGGGCTGGGGTTGTGGCTCAGAGCACTTGTCTGGCATGTGTGAGGCTCTGGGTTTGATCCACATAAAAAATAAATAAGGGGGCTGGGGATGTGGCTCAAGCAGTAGCGCGCTCGCCTGACATGCATGCGGCCCGGGTTCGATCCTCAGCACCACATACAAACAAAGATGTTGTGTCCGCCGAAAATTAAAAGATAAATAAAAATTCTCTCTCTCTCTCTCTCTCTCTCTCTCTCTCTCTCTCTCTCTCTCTCTCTCTCTTTCAAAAAAAAATAAATAAATAAGATAAAATTATTTTGCCCATGTACATCTAAAACACTAAAAATGAAAATAAAAAAAAAAAGATGAGTGCACTATAATGTGTTCATGCTACCTCATCTAAAAATGAAAAAAGTTTTGGAAAAGTATGTTGAAGTTACTAGTATATATTTTAGCATATCTGTTAAGTTAGGCACATAAAATGAAAGAATACTATATTTAATTTGGTAAATTTTTATGAAGCCTTTTTTGTTAAGCTTCTCAGAAATGATGATACTAATGGTTGAGTAGGAAGTCATTTTTCAAATCAGGACATCTCTAATTCTCGTACTTTGAAAAAGAGATTGAGGAATCCAGGCAAGTCCTCAATTTATTAATCAATTGATAGATATACTCGAACATCAGTGATATGAGAGCAAACAAATTTAAGAACCGCTATGTTAAACTATACTTTCTCAAAATAACCTGAACTATTTCTCATACTTATCATAATCTGTAAATACATATTTAATGGTGTTTTGTTTGATTTTGTTTCTCTAGCATCAAGCCTTGGAGAAACAATCTTGAGCATATTATTTATCCTCAGTGAATCCAAGTGAGAAATTGAATAAGAAAATGGATTTTGTGCAGGTGGTATTTGCAGTCCTGAGAATTCCTGTTTACCCAGGCACAGGTAATTAGAGCAAGAATTAAACTTCAGAAGCACAGAACTAGAGGAAGAGCATTTTTTTAGGACAAAGACTGTCATTTGGTTCGCCACTTTTCCTCCCTTTCTTTCCTTCCTTCCTTTCTCCCTAGGGAGCAGGGTTTAACAAAAGTAAAAATAAACCTACTTTGCCAAACTAGTCTAAGACACAGAATACATAACCACTGTCACGTGTGTTATTTGTGTGTTATTTGCAGTAGTGAAACAATTACCTTAGAAGACAACACTGTGATTCTGGACAAGTTCATTAATCTCTTTGTGCCTCCTTGTCTTCATTGTCTGGTTGGAGAAACCAATTTCATTAAGCAAAATAGAGTCAGTCTCATAGTATGTGATTTCTCTTCAGAGTCTGCCATTGAAACATTAATTTTCTTTTGATATCACTCTTTTTTAGAAATCATCTCTGAATGCATGTTCACATCATGTCACTGTCGCGACCCCTTGCCCGCAAGGAAGACGCAACTCAGGAATCTTCTTTCAGCAGTTTATTCAGGCCCTTGATATTTCTTCTTCTCCCCTCTCGGATGCCCCTCCCAGCCTTAATAAAGCATCTCAAGCCCCAATGCGAAGCTGCCACGTGGAGCTTTCTCATAGGGTGGTGAAAAACCATGCGCCAACTCTCCCAAATAAGCAGTTGTTTGTCACAGACCACAGCGGAGCCAGCGCCATCTTGTAATGGCGACCATAGTCTGCAGAAACGGCAGAAGCGGCTCACCACAGTTCCCCCTTTCTGTTTTCTTAAAACAATACAGGCGAGAGTAGAGGTCCTATCCCACTGTGCAGAAGTGGCTGCATAGTATGGCTCAGTCCTAAGGAGGGCCCTTCCCCAGATCTGAGGCCATATCAGCCGACGCCTTTTTTCGTGGGGCGGGGCGTGGACGCGTCTAACCCGCATGCAATAGGACATGCTCTCCTTGAGGTCCACGTCAAGGATCACTCAAGTGCAGTGCCTTGCCTCGCATCCTGTATCGTGACGATGGTGGACGAAGGGGGATAGCTGAGGCTGAACTGTGGCTGTTTATAACGACAAACAAGTTGACAGCACCCTGAAAGAAAGGCACGGACTTTAAGGCGATAGAAAAGCACTAGTGTGGAAACCCATCTGCGTGCAATGGCAGTAAGACCGGCAGAGTGCAAGGGCTTTCCAACACTAAGAGAATAACAAGGAAAGTCATGTCGATCCCAGTGCAATGTTATAATAACTTGGGGTGTAACGACCATGACAAAGGTTTACTGTTTAAGATGCGCAAGCCAGACTTGAGGTGAGTTGCCATTTTCTAAAGCCGCAAGAGCTTGTATGATCATAGCCTTATCGTGAGCACTGCGGGCCTTAAGGCAACAGAGAAACCACAAACAGAGGAACATACCGAAGCAACACATTGCACCAAAAATGCCTACCCCCACCCACTCTTTGAAGAAGGAAAAAGCAGAAGATATCCAATCGGTGAATTGACCCAAAGTCACGGGATCGACACGAGTACTGTTCAAGACAGCTATCTGGGTTAGTTGAGACTGGATCATGTCTTCCGCTGCCATGGACCAATTTCCGGCCAAATATTCGCCAATGATGCAGGAGGCATTCCTGGAATCATTAAATCTGACAGAGGTTATGCATAAATGTGCACGTGTTGACAACCCAAAAGCACCAAGTCAGCCAATTCTTCTACCTGAGCTTGGAGTAAATCTATTCTTTGGTTGGCAGCTAAAATCCCTGACAAAATATGTTGATTAATTGTATTTTGGGATTCAAGTATGGTGGAAGTTTGTTGAACAACTTGATTAATGGTGGCAGCAGTTTGTACTTGACTGGCCATGGCCACTCCGGCCGTAACCGCTGCAGCAGCAGACACTGCCACAGCTGTCACTATAGCTGCCATAATTCCAAAATCCCTGCGGACTCTAAGTAGCTCAACAATGGGGAATTTATCTGGGTCCGCAGTGACTGGGATTGGGACAAAAGTTGGAATTTTCATAACCACTGCTACAGTCCAAGAACCATTCCAACACTCAGATAAGAGACAGGTAACATTAGAACAATCCAGCATCCCCGACGAGGTGTCATTAGCCAAAAGGAGCAAGAACGGGGATTGGACACAGACCACTGCAGGGGGCAATGTGGCATTATATAGCAGAGAGTTGAACGAAACAGATGTAAGTCTATTACCTCGTTCACTCTCCCTAACAGTGCCAGAAACATTAGCCAGCCAGCTTTTGGCTCCCAGCAATTGAGCCAATGCAGAAATATCGGCTGAAGCCCCCTTCTCATTGGAAATCAGCCATTGAAACCAGGACCAACCTACTCCTGTAGAGGAGTTGGCACTGTTGTTAAAGTTATAAACATGCCTCTTAAGAGAGGGGGAAAGGGAGAAACCTTTAGCAACTTGATGTTTCTCCCAAGAATGATCCTGACAAGGCGTAAATGTTGGGGGGAAACCAAGATTAGGGGTACAGTAAGGGGAGGCCTTGAAATGAGTGGCATTGTAAGTACTATTAGAAGAAGGAGGCACTGGGATTAGTACCTTGGAGATAATAGCCAAGGTAGTTATGTTTAAAGCAGAGCTATTTGTGGGGGTCCCTGAGCCTGATTGCTTCCCCGAAACTACTTGGCTCAGTGCGGCACTGATAATGCTCCCTGAGACCTGACTGGACCGCAATGGGTCCTCCCAGTTAGTCAAATTTTTGGTCTTAAGGCTGATGCAATTAGCGTTTCCAAGGCTGAAACAAAAAACTCCTGTGAGATTAACTTGAGATTGATTAAAAATGCTCTCCATGTCCCCTCTAGGAGAGGCACAGGGAGCAGACATCTCACATGAGGTAGAGAAAAGAGTGGGGAGGACACTAGAATTACCATGAACCGGCATCGGCATTGGCCAAGCCCGTGCCACTGCCCACCACTGCATTGGTGTCGTCTGTGCCATCGGCACTAGCACCAGAACCAGAGCACGTAGCAGAGTGAAGATCCTCATCACGGGATTGCTGTGGTATCTCTTGTTGCTGGTCGGTTGATGTCAAGACTCTTCTTGTCAGGCGTTCAGGGACCCACAACGGTTCCTTGCGATCCTGGGGAAAAACACATACAGATCCTCGCGCCCATGTCAGCATGGGGTCGGGGCCGTTCCATTGGCCTGTAAGAGCATCCTTCCACTTAACATAGCCAATCACAGAGGGCTGAGGGGACACATGTCTATCGGCCACAGAGCGACCATGAATATCCAAATTCAAAAAATTAATGGTAAAGAGAGCTAAGGACAGGCGTTCTTTAGGAGTGTGTTCAGCTCCTATTCCCCCTTTTTGTTTTTGTAAAGTTTCCTTTAACGTGCGATGAGCACGCTCAACAATGCCTTGTCCTTGAGAATTGTAAGGCAGACCATGAGTAAGTTGCACTCCCATGGTAGAACAAAAGGATGTAAATTGTCTGCCAGTATAAGCAGGTCCATTATCAGTCTTAAGGGATGCAGGAGCACCCCATGCTGCCCATGCTTCTAGGCAATGAGTAATAACATTACGTGCCTTTTCTCCCGATAAAGCAGAAGCATGAATAACTCCAGAGCACGTATCAACAGAAACATGCACATACTTGAGGTTACCAAAGTCAGGTATGTGTGTCACATCCATTTGCCAGACAACCAATGGCTTCAATCCCCGTGGGTTCACTCCATAATTAGGGGGATGAAGAAATGTGACACAATGGGGACATTGTAATACTATCTGACGAGCATCCGCTCTTGAAATGGAAAAACGCCTGCGCAGCGTTAAAGCATTAACATGGAAATTCTGGTGAAATAATTTAGCCCCCTTTAAGGAGGAAGCCAAGCATATCAACTGACCTCTAGTGGCTGAGTCCGCACAGGCATTACCCTGTGATAATGGACCAGGAAGAGAGGTGTGAGCCCGGATGTGCATTGGATAAAAAGGAGCAGTGCGGCTACAGATAAGCTGTTGAAGCTGATTAAAGTAAGCAGATACATTATGGGCATTACTAATAGCTCCCACGGCCTCCAGGACTTTTAGTGCTTGTACCACATAGATGGAGTCCGAAATAAGATTAAAAGGAAAAGAACACTGTTTAAAAACCTCAATAACAATTTGCAGTTCCACCCATTGTGGATTTCCAGGAGCAAATTGATGCTGAACAGGGGGAGAATCATTAATTACATAAGCTCCCATTCCAGACTTGGAACCATCAGTAAAAATATTAACAGCCCCCGGAATTGGATTGGGTGAAGTTACCTTAGGGAAAATGATGGGATGTTCTTTAACAAAATGGAGTAATGGATGGGAAGGGTAATGATTATCAATATCCCCTTGAAACGAGCAACATAGAATAGCCCAGTTGTCTAGAGTAGCACACAAAACATTAAGTTGAGCTTTAGTATAGGGTATAATAAGAGAAGAAGGTGATTGTCCGAAAAATTGAATGCTTTGTTGAATCCCTTTAAGTGCTAACGCTGCAACAGCATCAGGATAGAATTCTAAGGATTTTCCTGGGGATACATGTGGGTGGATCCATATTAAAGGCCCATCTTGCCACAGTACTCCAGTAGGCTGCCGCATAGTGGCAAGCACACATAACTGGAAAGGTTTATCACTCTGGAGCCTGCATAGAGTAGCATGTTATATAGCTTCTTCTACTGTTATAAGGGCCGCTCTAGCCTCTTTGGTGAGGCTACGAGGAGAAGCAAGATCTGGATCACCCTTAAGGGTAGCATACAAAGGCTGGAGCACACCATTAGGAATATGCAAATATCCCTTTATCCAATTAATATCTCCCAGCAGTTTTTGAAAATCATTTAGAGTTTGGAGATCCTGAGTTCTTATGGTGATTTTTTGTGGTTTTAATTTGTCATACCCAATTATCGCTCCCAAATACTCAATAGAATTCCCCGTTTGAACCTTTTCAGGTGCGATATGTAGCCCATATTGAGCTAACAGCTTTACTAATTCTTTATAGGCCTCATTAACTGTCTGCTCTAACTTAGCGGCCAATAACACATCATCCATATAATGAATGATCTTGATGGAGGAATACTTATGTCTGAGAGGTGCGAGTGCCTTCCCCACATACATCTGGCACATCGTGGGACTATTAGCCATTCCCTGCGGCAACACTACCCACTCAAACCTTTGATCTGGTTCCTCGTGGTTACACGAGGGAAGGGTGAAGGCAAAACGCTGTGAGTCTTTAGGATGCAAAGGAATAGAAAAGAAACAGTCTTTAATGTCAATAGCAATAATATGCCAGCCCTGAGGAACAGAGGAGAGCAGAGGCAGCCCTCTTTGAATGGGCCCCATAAGTTGCATTTGAGCATTAACTGCTCGTAGATCATGCAGTAGGCGCCACTTTCCTGATTTTTTCTTAATAACAAATATGGGAGTATTCCATGGAGAAGTAGAAGGTTGGATGTGACCCAAGTCAAGTTGTTCTTTGACTAGATCATGGGCTGCTGCCAATTTAACCGAGGGAAGAGGCCACTGAGGCACCCAAACAGGCTCCTCGGTGAGCCATGTTATGGGTATTTGAGCCCCAGTGGCCCCTAGGAAAAACCCAGACCAAATCTGTTAAGCTGTTGATGACCTTGCACAGGATGCCTATGCCCCTGTAGGTGTTTTCCTAGTCCTAGACCTGGCCTATACCCCATATTTTGCATAATTTGTTGAGACACTGGGGAATAGTCATTACTAAGAGTGAACCCCATGTCTTTCATCAGATCACGGCCCCATAAAGAGATAGGTAAATCAAGTACATAAGGCTGAAAGGTGCCATTGTGTCCTTCCGGGTCCTTCCAAGATAGATGTCTACAGCTGATTTGAGGGGCTTGGGCATATCCAAGTCCTCTCAGGGATTGATCAGAAGTCTGCACTGGCCATCCCTTAGACCAGTCCTTAAGGGCTATGATACTACGGTCTGCTCCTGTATCCAGCAATCCCACAATAGATTTACCTTCTATGCTTAATTCCAAAGTGGGGCGATTGCTCATATCTAGTGACAAATAGGCACAATTCCCTCCGGTGGTACCAATCTCACTTCCCGTCCGTGACCTTGAGTCAGCAGGGAAGTGATTATGTAAGCTAGGCAAAATTAGTAATTGAGCAATCCGATCCCCTGGGGAGATAGACACAATGCCCCTTGGAGCCTCCACCATAACCTTTACTGCCCCTACAGTATCAGGGCTAATGACTCCGGGAAAGACATGAAGACCTTGTAAAATAGAGGATGCACGTCCAATTAACAAACCTACAGTGCCAGGTGGTAAAGGCCCTTTGAACTCAGTTTCCACCAATTGGACTCCCATCTTAGGTGTTAATACGAGTCTGGAGGTGGAACAGAGGTCCAATCCCGCGGCACCTGTAGTGGCTCTCCGCGTCTCATGGGATGGCGCAGAGATGGCCATGTCTCGGGTTCGGGTGTGACATTCTCCAATGCCCCATATATTTGTGGGCCCTGGGGTCGGGGGCCCCTTTGGCCGTTTTTTTGCCCAGCTGAAATAGGCTGTCCATGGATGTCCCTCACTGATCTACACTCTTTTGCCCAATGCTTCCCCTTTTTACATTTTGGACACAGCCCTGGTTGACGAAGGCCATTGGAAGGGCCACCGTGAGGAGGTCCAGTAAAATTGTCTTTTTTGGGACATTCACGTCTGAAATGACCGGGTTGACCACAATGGAAGCATGTTCCAGCACCAGGACTGCCCCCTTTTTGCAATCCGAAGGACAGCAGCTGCAAGACCTGCATTAGTTAAAGGTCCTCCAATCTCTCTACACACTTTCATCCATGCTTCTATGCCCTTATTTTTATAAGGCGTGATTGCCGCTTTACATTCCTTGGTGCATTGCTCAAAGACCAATTGCTTGATAAGGGGCATGGCTCTATCAGGATCCCCAAAAATCTTTCCAGCGGCATCCACCATTCTTGCTACAAAATCTGAAAAGGGTTCTGTAGGGCCTTGTAGAATCTTGGTCAAATTACCAGACACCTCTCCTCTATTTGGAAGCTACTTCCATGCCCGAATGCAAATGTTGTTAATTTGATCATATGCCTCAAGAGGAAATCCTGTCTGTTGATTTGCAAATCTACCCTGCCCCAAAAGCATATCCTTGTCCCAATGGGGGTGTCCCGCCGCATGGTTTTGGGCGGCCTGCTCTATTGCGCCCTCTAGCATAAATGCTCTCCAGTCCAAATATTTACCCGGGGAAACACAAGCCCGAACAAGGCTAGCCCAATCAGAGGGAGTCATGCAGTATCTAGACAGACTCTCCACCTGAGTTAGTGTGAAGGCGGCATCCACCCCATAAGTGCGCACAGACTCCGCCAGGGTCTTCACAATTTTAAAATCTAAGGGTTCATGGAATCTTCCCCTATTGTCATCCTGAAAAACTGGATAAGCAAGACCCATCTCAGCGTTAACAGCCCTCCATGTTTGGGCATGGAAAGCTCTCCCCGAAACACCCCCACCGTACGGCGGTGGATCCGGGGGATCGCTTTTCTTGAGCCCCTGTTTATTTCTGTTCCCTTCTCCTATAGCTAAACTCTCTAGCTGACGAGACAGCCTCCCGAGCTCTTCCTCCTCATCCTCCTCTTCCTCTGACCCACTTTCACATGGGGGTGTGCGCAGCGCACTGAGATCTGGATACAATCGTCTCCTCCCCTGTTTCACGCTCCGCACACTCCCATCCTCCTGAGGCACCTCACTTCCTGCCGTCTCCGATTTCTCCTCATGTAATTGCTCTAGAACTTCCTGTCCTTTAGTAAGTGCTTCCTGACATCTGCCATCTGTAAGGCAACTACGGACCATTTTCCAAAGGGGTATCACCCCACCCTCTAATATGCCCTGCTCAGAAGCAAAGTCAAGATCTTTGCCTAATTTATCCCAACTAGGTACAGTAAGGCTGCCCAAAAATGCAAACCATGGTGCAGCGATATCTATCTTCTGTAAAAATCTCTGTAAAGTACTATGTTTCACTTCCAGGCCCTTGGAACGTAACAGGCCATCTAGGGCCAGGAGAAGCGGACTTGAAGATGCGGCACCCATGACACAACAATAAAAGAAGCACAAAAAACAAAAGCGAAATGACACAACAAAAGAAACACAGAAAACAAAAGCAAAAGTACACAGTGCAGCTGCAATAAAATGTAATGCTCTCTCTTTCTTTACAGAGGAGCTGCCCCGCTTTGGTCACGGATCCCACTTACCTGGGACTAACCCCGCTTTGATCGCGGATCCCACTTATTGGGACTAACCCCGCTTTGGTCGCGGATCCCACTTACCTGGGACTAACCGGTGCACCACCCCTGACTGCTGAAAGTTCTGGTTCCCGGGTTTCGGCACCACTTGTCGTGACCCCTTGCCCGCAAGGAAGACGCAACTCAGGAATCTTCTTTCAGCAGTTTATTCAGGCCCTTGATATTTCTTCTTCTCCCCTCTCGGATGCCCCTCCCAGCCTTAATAAAGCATCTCAAGCCCCAATGCGAAGCTGCCACGTGGAGCTTTCTCATAGGGTGGTGAAAAACCATGCGCCAACTCTCCCAAATAAGGAGTTGTTTGTCACAGACCACAGCGGAGCCAGCGCCATCTTGTAATGGCGACCATAGTCTGCAGAAACGGCAGAAGCGGCTCACCACATGTCACATTCTCTAACTGTGGGTAAAAATATCTTTCTGTAGTTCTCATATCCTCCAATATCTCAGAGAAAGACATTTTTTCTTTGTTTTTTTACACCCCACTTTCTAGAACTCTAGCCCTAAATAAATTAACACTGAAGTGTTCAGTCTCTTTAGGACTTGACTTTGTTTTGTCATTTTTAGGTACCACCAGAGGGCAGCACTGAGGTAGTGATGCCCCTGACTCTAGATGTCTGGGTATCTGGAATGGACCTGTCACTTCTTAAAGGAGGATCCCTTTTCTATTTATCATGCAATTCAAATTCATCATTTTTCTTTCAAAAAACTGTCCAGTATTAATGAGTTTGTGGGTTATGATTCAGCTCTACCACTCCTTGGTATGGACCCAAAAGAATTAATATCAGCACAGTAGCCAAGGTGTCCCTTGACAGATGAATGGGTAATGAAAATGTGGTCTGCATACACAATGGAATTTTATCCAGCCATAAAGTAGAATGAAATTATGCCATTTGCAGGAAAATGGGTGGAACTTGAGCGCACCATGTTAAGCAAAATAAGTCAGATTCAAAAATTTTGACAAGTGTTACATGGTTTCCTTTATATGTGAAATCTAGGGGTAAAAAAGTAAAAAGAAAAAAGGGATGTCATGAAAATAAAAGACAGGCCATGAGGGTAAAGAAAGGGGATAAGAGAAGGCAGGAGGAGAGGGTAGAGGGAAACACTGGGAAATAAAACTGATGGAAATGTGTCATATGCAATGAAGACATGGGGAAGCAGATACCATCATACCTTTATGGCAGAGTGTTAATTGGGGCAAATTGAAAAGTACATCTCTGCAGTCTCTGCATTGTTTCCACCCTTTGTTCTGGCTTCCCCTTCCCCACGCCCTTCTCACACGCCTAGTAATTTCTCTTAAGGAAATTATTCTGACTTCAAGCAAAGATTTTAGCCATGTGGACAACCAGTGCAGCATAATTATAATAACATACACTAGAAACATTCCACAGGTCTAACAAAAAGAGTTTGGGACCATATAATAGATTAGTCCATGACTGTTTAAAAATAAGATTATTGACATGATTTCACATAATGTGGTAGACACATGACCATATGTAGTATCCAGGACAATTTTACATGGTTTATGGAAAGGCAAAACTTGTTTCTGTGTCACTGAAATCTCTTTCCTGGTTCCAGAGTCCTGGTCCTGGTTCAGCATGGCCTCCTTCCTAGACAGCCAGAGGCTCAAACATCCCACACACCCAGATTTTCTCCTCCCATCCTCTACTGGGAGTCCCAGTTCTTTCCCTCTACAAGAACCAGACTTCATTCTGCCATCCGAGCTCCATCTCCTTCTCTACACAGCCCTCCCTCAGTCAGCAACCAACTCCACGCTCACTGCCTTCCACCTCAACTTTGTCCCTTTGTCCCTAAGTTCCAGTCTGCCTTCCCTTGTGTCATTTTCTGGCACATGTCCCCTGGAAAGTTCTTTCCCAACTGTGTCTAAACCATATGGCCTCAGCCCTGGCCTCCAGCCTCCTCTTTGCCTCTGCACATCCCGATGCCCTTTCCCATGTCACCATTTGTAGTGCTTTGCTTCAGCAGTTGCTTCCCAGACCAACAAATATTCCCCCTGGAACATTCGGGGTTTTTTTATGCTGGCCCTTTTATGTTCCACCCTCATCTCTCTCTTTCTCTGATCACTCTCCTCACTTCGTTGTCATTCAATTTGTTTTACAGGTGGGGCTTCCTTAGATATCTTCTTCAATATTTGGGAAGCAACCCAACCATAAATGGCATCCAGATGAATTACCTCAGGCATGAGATGGAAGTGTTCATCTTCTCATCATGGTGATCCCACATACGCAGGAAGCAAACTCTTTTTCTGAAAACATATAGAAAGTGAGTTAATTTTATTCACCAGTCAGGATTTATAAAATTGGTACCTTTGTCAAGTGGACATTGGTTAAATATTTCCTATGAGTTATGTGACTTAGAGAGTAGTGGGGAAACAGAGGTAAAAAAGACAAAACACAAGTAAACATTTTTAAAGATTAATTTAAATCAGAACTTAAAATCTCACTTGAAAGTCACTGTGGTCTTTGTAGGGAAGAATTATTTTAGAAGTTGGAAGTTGAAATGTAATAAATAATACATGTTATTGGTACATGTGCATTAGAGCTCTGGTCCCTGTCACCAAGGATTACTTTAAGTACAAAATAGTCATTAATATGTTACCCACGCAATAGTGGGACCCCAAAACTCATAATGAAGACCTTGAAGTATCCAGTAAAAGATAAAACATTTAAGAAGGCAAAAAAATGTAAGACACAGCCCATTTTGAGTCTTCTTATTGATGATGAAACAGGAGAGATGGTACTTTAAATGATATTCTCAACATATTCTACAAATGTCAAGGTAAACTAGATATAATATATAACTTACTTGAAGTACAATAATAAGTAGCCCCAAAAATGATACCATGGGCATCTGGCAAATATGTGAAAATAAAGTTTTTAGTAATACAGATACACATCTACTCTGGCAGTAGATCATTACCTTAAATCTCACAATTAATTATAATCATTTTAATCATCTGTGTCCACCATTGTCAAGAATTGAATAGTTCCATTTGACTCAACTTTCTCATTTTCTGAACCTTATTGTCTGTCTTAAGAACCAAATCTTTATTTTAGACATTTTTAGCTAGGATTTCTGTAAAACATACTGCATGTTACACATTTTCTAACTTCTTAAATGCTTTAACTTTTACTGCAATCTTTTTTTTTTTGGAGGGGGGGGCACAGTACCAGGGATTAGACCCAGGGGCACCTAGTCACTGAGCCACATCCCCATCCCCAAAATAAATATATTTTTAAATTTTGAGACAGGATCTCGCTAAGTTTTTTTAGAACCTCACTAAGTTGATGAGGCTGGCTTTGAGCTTGTGATCTTCCTGCCTTAGCCTCCTGAGCTGCTGGGATTACAGATGTGCACCACTGTGCCTGGCTAACTTTTATCAATGTCTTTAAGATTTTTGTTGTAAGTTTCCATGGTAGAGGTTACAGAAGGAAACGTTAGCCCTGAGCAAGTTAAAATGTGAAAGTTCTTATGTCTGTTTTTTGTTGTTGTTCTTGTTGTTTTGTTCACCATAACAGTGAAAGTCGTGCCTGCAGCTAGCTGTTCTCTCTGCTGCTGGGAAACACTACTCCATGGGCCTCTGAAGCTCCTGCAGGTCCTACTTCAAGAATTCAAGACCCAGATCATTCCTTCTCTGGGACATTTCTCAAGGTTGTGTTTGCAGTGAGCAACCTTGAACACTGTAATAACCTTTTCTTCTAGATCAAGATTACTGTAAGGAGGGACATTTCCTCCGCTTAGTGTCCCTCTCCTGAAACACATCCAACACGTGTGCAGTGCATGTCTAGGACACCCGTGTCATGACACGGAGGAGCTAAGGAACCCATGCAACCACTGACAACCTACTTCCTGCTTTTGCTGTAAATGAGTTTTCAGCCTCCTGGCTTCTGTCAGTATCTGTGACATAGTGGCAAGCTGACTTGTTAAGTCCCAATATGTTAAAATCTCAGACCCTTCAGAGTTCTTGCAATCTACCTCCCAATTTATTGTTTCATTTACTCTTGTAGCAAACATGTATAAATTATGAATGTACCTAGAAATATGTAAGGTCCTATGAGTATACAAAGCAAACAAGTATTAGGAACTTTCTTAAGAAGTTCTGCCTGGTGAGAAGTGCAGATATTCAAAACCGATTTTTCCAACAATACACTATTACTATTGAAGGCACAGAAATTAGGACTGGAAGTTTCTAGAGGAAGTGACTGAGACTGAATTGAGCCTTTAAGGATGAGGAATATTAGGCCAGGCAAAGACAGAGGACATAGATGCAGGTCAGGATAATACAAACCAAAGGCAGCACAAGAGAAATAGCACAGGATGCCTAGAAAACTAAAATAAGCTCAATTGTGCACCAGGATAAATTGAGAGGCTTGTTCAGAGAGCTGAGAAGTAGCAGAGAAAGATTACAGAGGGCAGAACATGATGATTATGGAGTTTGAACTTCATCTTAGAACTGATGATAGAATGTAGAAGTTTACAAAGTGTTGAAGTCAAATCACAGTTTCAGGAGAAAGTAGAGTTGTGGGGAAAGTTTGGATGCCAGTTTACCAACTTCAAGGTACTAGTTTCCTCTGGGAAGAAGGAAGCCTAAAGAATAGGGTTTGTTTGGGGACATGAAGGAGGATTTAAACTATTTTGTTAATGTTTTATTTCATTAGAAAATGATAGAGATGAAGAGCTAAAGACAAAATAGCAAAATACTGCCTTAGTACTATGGTGAGTAGGCATCATATTATCTGTAGGTATCTATCTTCTGCACTTTGATGTGTTTTAAATGTTTCATAATTTAAATTGAGTGTTGATTAAATCCTGCCATGTAAGGTCAATTAAAGTCCAATATTATTATAAACTTCACATAACAAAGTACACTATATTGTGATTACATTCCTGGATAATCTCACCATTGACATAGCTACTAGATTTACAGATAAGAGTCAATACATGTTAGATCTATCAGAAAACTTTTCCAGAGGTACTAATGAGTGGAGAATTATGTCAGTAGATTCTGAGTTATGATTCTTTATTGTTTCTCAGAGAAGGCCAGAGTTAAGACTAGTGTCCACCAGACAATGCCTGCTGTTAAGTTCCATAGCATGATTAATTATTGCTAAGAGTGAGTGAGTGCCCTGTGATCCTGTCCTTGCAAATGAAATGTCTGTGTTTAGAAAAGCATCAATGTAATAAAAACCTAGTCAGGAATTAATTGGACCATGTCCTCCCCCCTAGCTTCACATTTATCATTTTGAATCATAATTGCCTGTCTGTAAGCTTGGCACATAGTAGGTAGACAATAAATAATTGTTAACTGACTGACAGCCTCCAGGAAGTCAAATTCCATAAGCAGAGGATTGTGTCAACTTACCCCAGCTCCTGGTATGGTGGATCTGGCATGAGGTTGGCACCAGCAAGCATTTACTGGATGAATGAAGAGGAAGCTAAAGACCCTGCTATCTTCATGAAAATTTCCAGATCTCCCCCAGAAGAAGGATCTCTTCCTCTCAAATTTTTATCTCCTCTTCAAATGTTCAATAGATGTTCTTATAGGGACTTGTATCTCTCCTTCCTGTTACTATAGAATAGTAACTTGTAAGTATCTTGAGAGTAAGGTATATATTCCCTTTTTGAAATTTATTGCAGAGTAATAGTGGAAAGAAACAAAGAATCTAAAATTAGTTCATTTAAACACTCTTTTAAGTTGAGGAGAATTGTATATTGACCTTAATGTATGCAACTTCAAGACATTTAAAACTAATTCCATTTACCTCTCTTAAGCTACTTCGGTAACAAATGAATGGACTGTACTCTGTTTTCGCCATGCCACCTACAGGGCTGGTGTTTCTGTTTGCTCAGCTATTTCCCACTAAACACCAATGAACAAAGACAGCTGCCAAACGTTTTCCAGGTCATTTGCTCTGTTTGTAAACAGAGAGGGTACAATATTTAACAAGATGTAATCATTTGCAAACTAGATTTATGCAGAATGAAAGAATTGAAAGAGAGGAGCGAAATTAATGCAAGTCTTAAGTGCTTAATGACCCTATTAATTGAGAGATAGGTAATTGGAGAAATTAAACAGACGAGGTAATGGCCTTGGAGTCATTAACTTATTCTGGGAGTGCTGCTAATGTTTACCAGGTGATTTTCCTCTGAGTTGAGAGCTAAGAGTCAGTTCACTTTACCACAATAGTTCTTGAATCTAGCCAGTCATAAAAATCACTTGGAAAGTTTCTGAATACTCAAACCCCTAAGTTTTCTTCATATTCCTTAACCAGACTCTTTGAGGTAGGATGGAGGCATATGGGTTTTAAAAACCTGTTCAGTTGATTCTTTTGATCTTCTGATCAAAGCTGATCCAACTTGGACATCATTGTTTTAGGACAGCATTTCTCAAACTTCACACTGTTGATATTTGGGAATGGTCAATTGTTGTAAAGAGTGTCCCATGCATTGTGGGATATTTGCCACTATTCTTGCTGTGAACCCAGAATATGGTACCTAAAACAATGCTGTCTGATAGAAGTTGCTATGATAAAGGAAATATTCTCATCTGCACTGTTCAATACTGTAGCCACAAAAAATATATGTTTATTGGGCACATGAAATATGGCTAGTGCAACTGAGAATGGAATTTTAAATTTTCTTTTAATTAATTGAATTTTAAAAGCTGCATACAACTAGTGGTCGTTATATTGGAGAGAATAGCTTTACAAGATCCAGATTTGACTGTAGGCAGTGATATCCATGCCATTTCCCCCTAAATGCTTCAGAGACCTGTCATGTAAAAATAACTTAAAAGACTAGAAAATATGCCTACCTTCCTGTCTGAATAAGAAAAAAAAATCTTAGGATGCTATGACTAAAAGGAGTGTTTACTTGCAGTTTTGTTTTCTAAAGACTGTCTAGGAAGTCTTCCTTGTATTCAGATTATATCCAGATTATCAGAATTAAACCAGCCTGGCTGGAGACAGCCCCTTTCAGTTCTAATCATGATTTCCTTTTACTGTCAGTCTTTAACATTTTCTTGGAGAGAGTTCTCATTTTTGTCTCTTTTCTCTCAATTCTTAAGAGGTAAACATACAATTACCATATGACCCAGAAATTTCACTCCTAGCTGTCTACCCAGAAACATAAATGAAAATTTATATACACACAAACACTTGTACACAAATGTTTGTAGCAGCATTATTAATATTAGCCAAAAAGTGGGAATGACCCAGATGCCAATCAACAAAACCTGGTAGACTTATAACAATGGAAAATTATTTGGTGATAAAATGAAATAAGCTACTGACATCATCAGAGTACTAGGAGATATCGTCTACTTTGAGGGCCTATGCTCTTCATGCTAATGTTTACCAGGTGATAGAGCCCATTCTCTAATTCTAAGCTCCTCAACTCAAGACAGCTTTCCAGGGAATAAATTCCTAGGTTTTTGGTTGTAACGCTCAGGTTCAGGCCCCTTGAGCACTGGTGTTCAGGAGACCTTGAACTGTGTAGACAGCAGGAAGGGGAAGACAGTCAACATCAAGTGAAGTAAAATCTTACCTAATGTAAACCAAACAAATTTTTTAAAGCAATTATGCTTTTGTCTTCTGGAAGAAATAATATCTCATGAAGGAAAAGTTTAGTTAGATGGAGATCTCATAGAAAAATATGAAGACAAGCAGGTGCTCAGTTTGGAAGGCAGAAAAGAACTGGCTTCTTAAAGAAAAATATTCATTCAACAGACAAGGCAGTGAACCATAGGCAAAAAAAAAAAAAAAAGTGACACCCTATAGTTGACAACAATTTTTTAATAATCTTATAAAGAACTAAAAGAAAGGAGTTTGATGTTACCGACAAAAATGGTGATTGTTTAAAGAGATGGGAATGTTAATTACCCTAATTTGATAATTACAAATTGTATACCTACAATGAATTATCATGTTGTAACTCGTAAAATACAATGAAAATTACAGAACAAAGACACCAATCTGTGTTTAAGCATTAAGCCATTTCTAAACCTTCTTCTGTTCTCTGAGGATTCAGGTAGATACCTAGAGTTTTTATGAGAAGAGCTAAGTCCTTTGGAATGGTTTTAAGAAGAGTGTGATTTATTGGGAAGACAGCTTCAACTTCAAGACAGGATAAGTCAGTTTTACTTCAATTTTTTATAACCAGATATAGTGGTGGTCTTCCCTGACCCTGTCTGACTAGATTGGAACTTCTGAGAGCTCTTGGACATACCCTTATGATAGCACTTATTATTTTTTAGGGTTGTTAGTTTTTATCAGCTTCCCCACTAGACAGTGAACTTCTCAAGAACTGAGACTTATTGTCATTACTGTGGTTTTCCATTATCAAGAATTTCTCATCACAGTTTGGTGGGTAGGCCAGTTTCCCATCTCTGAGGAGCAGCGTTTCATTTTCAGGTATTCCATAGGCCAACTGACTCCTTCCCAGTTGAGATAATTCAAAGGTCAACCCCATTCCTGGACTCTGCCTCATGACCCTATGGTACCTCAGACTGTACTGTGACAATGTGTTCTACTAGTTTGGGGCTGGACTACAAAATGGGTGTTCTACACCAAATTGCTCACTAGAGTGGATTTAGCATCATTCTTTTGGCTTCCAGTGAAATGCTTTTCAAATAGTGTTGTCAAGTGGACTTCAGATATCCAAACCACATTCCTCCTGTTGGGCACCCTGGTGAGAGATATCTGTTTTTTTCAGGCATTTTTATGTAAGGTGCTAAGAAGCAAATTACTCAGTGACAGCTGTAGGTCCTGAAGACATTCACCCACCTTCCCTGTTGCCTGTCCTCATGGGAAGAGCGGTAGAAAAGACAGGGTAATGAAGCCATTGAAGATTCCAGTTTACTTAACATCGTGGATATGAAATCAGAAATTTTGTGATATTCCTTCATGTTGCAAGTCTGGGAAGACCTAGTGCCAGCACTTGTCCCTGCCCGCCCCTCTTGGTTTCTTTCTAACTCATTCTTTCTCTGAAAAGAACTTTCCAGTTGCACCATTATCATGAATTGTCTGGGCAAGAAGCATGTTTTCATCAAATCTTGGGGTTATGATCTTTCCACTGACACCAACTTGTAAACATTGTAACAGACACAGTCCTCTATCTGGATTGCCTGTGTCTGTGCTGACACTATCTGAGTTTGAAAAAAGAAAGCGATAGCAAGAGCCCATAAGAGTCCCCAGGCAGCGCCAGCCTGTTTGAGTTAGTCATTATCACCAGAGCTGTAAGACGTCCTTGGAGAACTCCACCTGCTTGCTTCCTGGGCTCCTGGGGCAAAAAAGCAGCAGGGAGAAATGCACTGTTTTAATTTCTGAGAACACACAGATGAACTTTGGATTGAAGAAATCTGTACTCCTTGAAACCTTTGGCCAGAGTTATAAATCTGTGAGCTGCGTGGCAGGGATGTCTCTGACTCTGGAACACAGAACAAAGAGCATTTTGGTTAGTCACACAGAGCAAAACACAAGAGAAAAGGAAACCCAATGTTGACACCACCCACAGGGTCCTAAAGGACCCCCACCTTCTCTTTTAGGCCTGAAGAGGGGGAAAAAACAGAGGCAGAAAATACACAGGTGCAGATTAAGTTAGTCTGGGCTAGACAGGCCTGGGAAGTGGGCGAGCTCTGTGGTCAGTTTCCTTGGGGCCTGCTCATGCGGGGGAAGGGGCGTCTCAGTCCTTCAGAACCTCCACTTTCTGCATGAGGGAGTTGCTCTTAATTCAAAAGGGGAGTCCCCAAATTCAGTATGATTTATGACAAAAACACATTGTCACAAAGCCCGACGATTTCCACTATACCTGATAAGACTTTTTAAAACATTTTTTCCTAATTCCCAAACATATTTTCACTGTAGAACATTTTTAAATGTATAAAAGGATTACAAAAAAATTTTTTGTTCCATATTTGTTCACCATGTTCTTTTGCAATTAAAGGGAAACTAAATCTTTTAAATCACACAGAATGGAAAAGAAAAGTGTGAGTTTCTACTTTGGATTTGGAAATCCTAAATTTTGGTCACATAGAACAACAAAGCACACTTAGACAGAGACCTTGCTTGAGATTGGGTGGTACACTGCAGAAGGATGTGAAATCCAACCAGCTTGTAGAAGTGTACACAGCATAATATTCTCATGAGGGTCTGGCGGTACTGAGAAATTCATGTTCTCCTAATGGACCAAATCCTGCTATCGTCACTGGTAGGGCACAGCCCACAATCAGTGGAGGGATTCCTGAACTGTGTGACATTATCCCTAAGTTCTTATCACAGGCTCTAAAATTCAGGCAATTAAAACAGAGAGAAAGCAAGGGAGTGCATGGAAACAGAAGAAGGATAGAAGTTTGTGGGTTATTGTGATCCTGCACTGACTGCCAACAGACTCTCTAGCTAAGAAGGAAAGACACAGATCTGTGAAGGGTGGTTTCTAACAACAGGTCATGTTGTCTGTGGTTAGAAGGAATTTGGGTAGGAAAGAGGATCAGCTAAGTGCTAAGCCAGGTTCTGTTAGTCTTAACTCCATGTATTCATGGAAATGAAACCTGGTTTGGACTGATCTTAAGTTGTTCTCTAACTTCTGCAAGACCGGACCCGCATCTCAAAATGCATCTATTTACAATGTTGTATGTATATAACATACACCCCTGCCTTTTTTACCTTGGTTTCCATTGCATTCTTCAATTGCCAACTCTGATATGGAAATGAATAAAACTAACCCCTCCCCCACCTTCATTTTTTGTCACCTGCACAATAAAGAGTTGCTCAGATCATCTCTAATTTTCTCCCCACCTTAGCACTCCACCCTGTTTTGTTCTAAAGGCCACACTCTCCTGTGTCAGGCAGTTGTCAGCTTTCTGTCACCATAACAAATGCTTGAAATAATCAACTTATAAAGAGAAAAGGTTAATTTTGGCTCACAGTTTTGGAGATTCCAGTCCATGATTTGTTAAGCCCATAGCTTTTGGGCCTGCATCAAAATAGCTCATCAGGCTGGGAGTGCATGGCAGAGCTGAACGACTCTATACTCTCATCATAGCCAGGAAGCAAAAATAAAAAGACAGCAAAGAGGAGGCTGAGTTTCCACAATAGCCTTTGAAGAACCTAGAGACCTCCTACCATGCCCTGTCTCTTAAAGGTTCCATACCTCCCAGTGGTACCACACTGGGAAACAAGCCTTTAACACATGAGTCTTTAGGGGACATTTGCTATCCAAACTATAGCAGGCAAGAACAGTGTGATCATCACTCCAGGTCACAGAGCTTACCTGGTGCTTCAGTAATCTCTTCTCTAAACCAAGTTCTTCACTAGTTATTCACTGTGTAGGCGGTTAGAGCTCCTGACACAATTCTTCAAGGAATAAAAAGGGGAAAGAAAGAAGATGTGGGTGGGAGGCAGTACTTTGCTTTTTTCCTCCCAATAATTGCTTCTTAGACTTTTCTTTTTTGCGTTTCAGAAGCACATTACTTATTAATTGATTACCACTTTTGTTTACACAGCAATTTCTCAGCAAGCAGTTTCTTAAATGATTTCTTGAGTAATTTCCCTTAATTTCAACATTATCCTTAAAAGGTCTTTAAAGTGCTTGGAATGCACACAACTTTTCAAAATGGTCTACTATTTATCTCTGCTTAACTACTGTGGAGTGGGAGGTCCTGATCCTTCCTTAGAATAGTGAGGAAACTAAAACATGTTGATATTAAATACTTAAAAGTGGCAGAATTGTTTTTACAGGTCACTAAATAGTGCACAATCACAGTTCTGGAGGAGGACAGAGGGACCGCCCAGCATGAATCAAGTCACACAGACATCAAAATTCCCCAAAGATTGTGCTAAGGCAGATAGTTAATTGGTGACAGCATCGAGATAAACACCCAGATAAATTCCCTCCCCATTAGGTATTTTTCTTCTAGGCTTGCTATCCTGAGCCAGCTACCTTGTGCCTGCTTCATGCTCTAGCCCTGACAATGCATAAAGGTCAGACATTGGAACTGTTGCCTTTAATCTCAGTCCAAAATTATAACTCCTTTATATCTCCTTTATATCATGGTTGAGTGAAACCAACTCACAGTGCTATAGAAAGTTAACTACCCAAGGAGTAACTGAGGACCCCAGGTCAGTTAGGTCATTTTGAATCTCTCCCCTGATGCCTGGGTGAACTTTGAAAGTATAAAATAGAATTGAGAGTGGGGTGTCTGAATTCACTAGAGATCAAGGATGAAGCAACTGAGAAAACAAGATCCAAAGCCAGCTCCAAAGAACAACTTTCCTCAATGGTACAAATGAACTTGGTAGAATCTAGTAGAACAGAGAATTTGAAGAAACCATGTGAAGTCATCCAGCTTATCCCTTGCTTTTAAGTAACTAACAGTGATTCACCGAATTACTTTCTGTGCCTTCAGACAGATATGTGGACTCCAACACATAGCATTTTGGGGACTTGAATTATTTCAAAGTATCCTTTGATAATTCTTTCCAGTATCTCACTAACACCAGCCACTCAGTTAACATCTAGTCTAAATCCTTCCTGCTGGCTTTGATACCTTGGGAGATATGGGAAAAAGAGCAGGTCTCCTTTTCTGAAATCTTTTCTCAATGTGTCCACTGCCCTTGTCTGGGCATGTTGAGAGCATGCAGGGGAGAATCTCAAAGAACATAGATTGTTTAATTCCCCAAATAATAAAATAAATCAGGGATAAAGTTATGGTTTTAATATTTTCAAATATTAGCTCTGTGATCGTAGGCAAATGATGTACCATCTATGAACTTCAATTTCTTCTTTTGTAATTCAGATATAATGCTTAAGCCAACTGGGATGGTACAGAGAAATTGGAACTCTTGTGCATTGCTGGTGGAAATGTAAAGTGGTACAACAGTTGTGGAAAACACTATAGCACTCCTCACAAAAGTTAACCATACCATCCAGCAATTACACTTCTGGGAAGAATTGACAGCAGCAACTCAAATAGATATTTATACAGCAATGCTCTGGAAGCATTATTCAAATAGCCAACAGATGGGAACAACCCAAATAATGAATAAGCAACATGTTGTGTGTGTGTGTGTTTGTGTGTGTATGAGTGTGTGTAACTTGGCCTTAAAAATAATTGAAATCCTCTCACACGTACAACATAGATAAACCTTGAGGACATTAGGTTAAATGAAATAATCAGACACAGAAGAACAAAGATTGTATGATTCCACTTACACACTCATAGAAATAGACCATAGAATGGTGGTTGCCAGGTTGAGGGGGTGGATAATTAGTGTTTAATGGGTACAGAGTTTCAGTTTGGGATGATAAAAAATTCTATGGCTGTACAATAGTGCAAAAGCACTTAATGACACTGAACTCTACACTTAAAACTAGCTAACATGTCAGCTTATGGTATGTAGATTTTATCACAATTTAAAAACAAAAATAATGGTCACTATATGTTTCCCACTCAGCAGAGGATATGGGGACACAGATATGATAGAAAATACTATTTTTTATTTTTTTCTATTTGGTTGGAGAGATAGGACAAATACACAAAACAATCATGACCAACAATTACTTTGTCATTATAGGCTGCTCTAAGAGGTGAGAGGAGCACCTAGTGACTGCTGGAATAGGGGTGGCTGAAGAAGGCTTGCTTCATGGATATGCAGACGTAGGTTGAACACAGATCTTTGATGGGCCAAACAAAATCTCAATTATATTCAGAAAGTATTTTTTTCCAGCAACTACTCCTCTTGTCTCAACCTAGAAAAAGCAGCCATGTTCCTCCCTTTCCAACTTGAACTCTAGGGATCCTATGCACCATTGGTTAGTTGGTATTTTATATTACATAAGACCTTCATACCAAGAAATTGCTCAAAGAGCTAGAGGCAGGCAATCTCAAGAACCTGTTAGAAACTTGGAACTGGTAAGATTGTCAGAGAGAAAAACCCAAAGGTTGGGTATTGATTGACAAATTATCTGGGGCAAACTAAGATAAGCTGCAGCAAATCATTAATATCATTAGATAACCACAGCTTAATCCCAGTATAAAGTGGTATTACATTGCTGCGGTAAGTACGATCTTTTCAGTGTACCAAAACAATGAGGCTTTGCTGTGGTGATGACAGAAAGGGGTTACAGGGAGAGATTTTTGTCAAGAGCAACAGCATCAGGCTGAGAGATATAATGGAGAGAGCACAATGTTAGTAGCCGGATGATGTGTATTCAAATCCAAGTTCTATCGCTACCTTGTGATTGGGGACAATTATTTCACTTTTCTCAGTTTCTCATAGAAGGGCTATAGGCATAATTTAGTGGTAGAGTGCATGTTTAACAGGCCTGAGGACCTAAATTCAATTTCCAACAGCAAAATAAAATAGATTCCAAAGGCAAAACATGCAAAGATTTTTATTGTCTTATTATTTCTAACACTAACTTCATAGATAAACATAATGAAACTTAAAATGCCATATCAAATTAATAAGATACTTCAGTTTATACATATGGCCATTAAAATATTTAAAGATTATGTAACTATTTTTTGGTTACTTGAAACTCTCATATTTTTGGTAGTTTAAGGATTTGAATGTTTGAATATAAATACAGTCCAATGTGTATATTTTCTCAATTAATAATGAAAAAGAAATAAATTACCCACATAAAATCAGACTTCTTTTTGTTTACAGTAAGATAATTATAAAAAAGACTTGTATGTTTAAAATGGCCTCTCAAGAACTCCAAACATAGAGGAATGTGGTATTATCGTGACTCCTTACTCATTCAACTGACATGAGTTATGAAAAGTGAAGTATAGCTAACACGCCTCCAAAATCCAGGAGACGGGCTTGGGGTATAGCTCAATTGGTAGAGTGTTGCCTCGCATGCATAAGGCCCTGGGTTTAATCCCCAGAACCACAAAAAAAAAAAAAAAAAAAAATCAAAATCCATGGAAAAATGAAAAAAAGAAAGACATTGAACTTGGAAGTAATTAGCATAAGGCACTCTATGCCAGTCCTTTTTAGAAGTCTTTTTATGAAAAATGTTATGAATTAACAGATTATTTTTAAAATATTTGGACAAAAATATTATGAATCAATGCTTGTGGAATGTCTTCTAATTAAACAAAAAACGTCAATGGACAGTACTCAGATGTTAGAAAAATAATGAAATCGAGGAACATAGAAGAACTAATAAAAATCATAGCAAAAAAATAAACAATTTAGAAAATAATAAAAGTATTAAATCAAAACTCACATTTATGTTCTTGCATAGACCTTTAGAAACTGCAATAAATAAATACAATGCACATCGTTAATGTTAAAAGATATATAAATGTTGATATTAAAAAGATTTTTAAAGAAGGGACACAGCAAAAATATTATAATCTGAATAAAAAGGCAAATATAGAAAGGCAAATATAGAAGTAAATAAAAATTATCAAAATTGAGTCTAAGGATGTGAGAACATGAATTATCAATAATGATAGAAAAACTAGAGTCATAATAAAACTATGCCAAAATTGGACAATTTTACAGAGTTAAAAAAAGAAAACTAAATCAATAAAACATTTGGATATAATTTTTAAAAATTGAAAACAAAGTCCAGTGTTGCACTATAAGAATACAATATCATGATCTTATTTAAATATAGTTTTATTCTAAGAACTTGACTACCATGATAATTGTAATTTATTACAACAAGCAACTTAAGGGGATATATTTGATAGATGTCAAAACTTTTTGATAAAATTTAACACCCATTCCTTATTCAAACAATAACAACAAAGCCTCTTAGTAACTGGGAATGGGAGGAATCTCTTGAACTCAATTTAGCATGTCAACAACAAACCTAAAGCAAACTTACACTTCGCTGCCATCTCATTTTGGGTGAGAACCAGAGAAGTTTATTTCTCACCTAAGTACTAATCCAAGGTGATTGGTTTTGGTCAGCAGGAAGTTGTCCTGCATTCTGTCTCATGCTCTAGAATATGTGCAGCTCATGGCCCATCTTCTGGAACCTGATCAGCTGTATCCATCCCCCCAAAAGGATGGAGGGATACAGTTGAGGGCTTTGTATGAGCCTGCCACAGCTGTCTGTTCAGGCTGTACTGCACTGGAGAGGACTTAGTCGTGTGGCTGTGAGGAAAGCCAGAGGTGGACCCTGCTGTGTGCACAAAGGAAGAACTGGAAAGCAAATGGCTCTTTGCCACTGTCAGTTCCTCTGGCTACTGTGAATTGTCACATGTCCTTCTACATATGCATCATCTCCCCAAGAGAGATAACCACAAATTCCATGCAGTTGCTACTGTCGTCTCAAAGTTTAAGAATTCTGAGTACTGGACAGTCCAGTCATCAAATATGGATGTGAT